TTGTCTCTGCTGGTGACTCTTCTTGTGTGAATGCACTCCAGTGGTTGGCGGACCATCTGCGGGTGGCTGTGTCGTCTAGCTGCTTTTGCAGCAGCCGTGGTTACTGTGGTGGCTGTGGTGGGCCACACACGTGGAGGTGCTGTATTTGGCATGCTCCTTGGCACTGGCGGTATGCCTAGTTGTGGGGTGTGTTTGGTCCCCTTCTCCATGCCTCTGGTCCCTGGGCAGGCCCCAAGGCGCTGGTGTTATGTGCCTGGTTGTGGGAGAGGGGTCCAGTCCCCTTCTCCATGTCCCAGGTCCCTGGGTGGGCTCTGAGGTGCTGGTGTGGTGTGCCTGGTTGTGAGAGGGTGGTCCAGTCCCCTTCTCCATGCGCTGGGACAGTGGACGGGCTCCGAGGCGCTGGCTTCGTGTGCCTGGTTGTGGGAGAGAGGTCCAGTCCCCTTCTCCATGGCCCAGGACAGTGGGTGGGCCTTGAGGTGCTGGCTTGGTGNCTCCCAAGCGCCGCACTCTACCGAGTGTGCCACCGGGCCAGCCCATGGACACCTTATTTTTAATGGGCATGAGAAGCTTTAGAGAAATCCTTTAGCTTCTACCTGTTCTGTTTTGGTTTTGATTCAGTACTTGACTTTTTATGAGTGTTTAGCTTAAATTGTTAAAATGATTTCTTAATGTCTATTTGTAGGATGCTGAAGAAGACCATGAAAGAGCACATCAAATGGTTTTACTGAGAAAGCTTTGTCTGCCAATGTTGTGTTTTCTGCTTCATACAATATTGCATAGTACCGGGCAATATCAGGAATGCCTACAGTTAGCAGATATGGTATCCTCTGAGCGCCACAAGCTGTATCTGGTAAGTTATAGAGCATCAACAGTTTTAAATTTTAGTGATTTGATTCAGTCTGTAGTAATATTTAATTTTGTAAAAATGTGTTTACATTTTTTAGTTCTTGGATTTTCTTTTTTTTTTTTGTCTTTTTTCGTGTCCGGCAACGGATCGCAACCCTCAGTGTCGNGAGGTTATGCATTGGCTGTGGCCCTGTAATCTTGATCTAAATGTTAAAGTGTCCTTGTGCAGAGCACTTTCCCTCACAAAACGAGTTGCACTCTCTTATTCTTCTAAGATCTAATTTTGCAGGTTTAATAATTTTACAGAATATATTTTTATCCCAACACCTCATTCTTAATGATTTATTTAAAACTGGACACCACCAAGTAAAGGGAATTCTATGGTTTCATTCCCATATACTTAATTTATCCCAATCATATAATTTCCCATTAATACCAACCATTCTCTTGCCATTAATATAATCTACAGTAAATGATCTTTACCAACTTACATCATACTTTGGACGTCCCTTGGGAAGGTACCAAATTTTTCCCTTCATCATTTTATATCCCATTTAACCATTTACCCAGATGGTGGGAAGAGGATGGGGACTTCTTTTATTTATTAATTTCTCTGGTAAAGGCAATTGCTCATGATTAATCGTGACCGATGTTTTTGAAACATCCGTTGGCATAATTAATTGACTCAAAAGGGACAATTTGGAATTGTTCAATCTTCCCAGATCTTTGGTGGGACTATCTAATTTTATGACAACAACTGTTTGTGTGTCATTTTCTGCATTTTTTGGAAACTCAGAAAACTGCCACAGTGACCAAAATATCAAAAGAGAGAGTAAAAGCAGTACCACTATGCCGAGGCAGAGATCCTTACAATTGCAGCAAGTGCTGGTAGTTGTGATCTTGCCAATAGCCCTCCCTCCGGCGGCCTTGCCAACTCGGAGAGGGTAGCTCAAGCTATTCCTTTCAGGACTCTGCCTTGGCATGGACCGCGCCTGTTCATAATTCTGGAGTATGTTGTTTACATCTAATGAATTTATTTTTAATTGGAATGTGATATAAAATAATATATCAGACATTATCATACTTTGTAAAGTATTTTGTGTGTGATATGTGCTTAAATTGTTCAAGGCTGTACAGGTGTGTACTGGGTTGTAATGTGAAATGTATTTCTTATCATTGGCTGAATTTCAAAAATACCTGAAAACCACAAGTTATTCTTACTCACTCTCTTTGCCTTTGAAATGTGTTCACACAGTTGCCTCTTCCTTGTACTGTGGTAACCACACACATCTGCCTATAAAAGGTCTTAGTTCCGACAGTTCTTGCATACTTGTGTGTGTGTGTGTGTGTGTGTGTGTATGTGTGTGTGTGACACTCTCATCACCTACAATCAGCTATTGGGTCAGGGAACTTCCTATCCCAGGGAGAAAAACGAGCAGGTAAAAAAAAAAAGGCAGAAAAAGGTAAGAGAGTAGCATGAGAGAGGAACTATAGATGAAAAATGATATATAAATATTGTAACATCTCACCATCAAAATATGTATTACTGTCTCCAATTTATGGACAGAAGACTGAGGCCCACAAAATGGAAATGACAGTCCATATCAAAGAGAATAGACTATCTGTCACTGATTCACCCAAACTTAACACCTACCAATCATCATATATTTAATAAAGCTTAGAAATCTCATCTATAGATCTTTAAGTTAGAGCCTGGGATCCAGGGGTCTGAGGAAGAGAGGATTTAGATGATAAAGTCTGAGTCAAAATGGCTGTGGGGGATCAAGGCTGAGTTCCCTAGATTTGTAGGACAGTAATTGTGGGGCAATTGTAGGATCAGAGAAAACACAGGGATTAAAGCACAGCAGAACATTGTCGGGTCCGCCGACAGCAGCCAACCCGTACAGCCCTAGCCTCGTTCCTTTCAGTGGGCGAGCAAAGGCCCGGGATTCCTCTTTCCCTCCGGTCCCCTTTTGAAGGAGACAGGGGAAGAGAGTCGTGAAGAGAGGTGAGCACACCACTGGCTCCAAACCAGCCCAGTTAAAGGACACTCACATGCAGTGGGGGTTCTGTCAAGCAGTTCCATTTATTAACACACAAGCATTGGCTTTTAAAGGTAAATGGTAGGGTCAGCCCGGTGGCTCACTCGGGAGAGTGCGGTGCTGATAACACCAAGGCCACGGGTTCGGATCCCATATAGGGATGGCCGGTTTGCTCACTGGCTGGGCGTGGTGCTGACAACACCAAGTCAAGGGTTAAGATCCCCTTACCGGCCATCTTTAAAAAAAATAAATAAATAAATAAATAAAATAAAATAAAGGTAAATGGCAAAGGCAGGTTTTTTACATCCTCCAATCAGCTTAAGGTTTAAGGGCATGCATCCTGTCTCAATACCTAGCTATTGCAATTACGCAGTGTTCACAAGTGTGGCCAATAAGGGCTAAGGCAAGGTTCCCACAGACACTCCCACCCTGCTTTCTCCCAGTGCCATCTTAGGCTGCCAAGTTAATCCACTTGTAATGTCACTTTAAGGTGGTGTTAGTTTTTTAAAGGCCCAACAGAACATGAAGTTTATTAGAGAAATAAAAAAACAGGGAGCAGTGTTGAGCAAAAGTCAGCCCTCTCACACTCCCTACTCTCTCATCCTGAAACATCATGCTTATGTTATTCAAATCTTCATTTTACACATGTCCACATCAACCTGGATAACTTGAACAGGATCGCAACCCTCGGTGTTGCCCCCATGCCTCGCTCAGCCAGTGAGCGGCAACCGGTCTGCATGTGGGATCCGAACCCTTGGCAGGAGCGCCTGCCGTGCTTCCCAAGCAGTGCACTGTAGCAGTGCGCCACCGGGCTGGCCCAAGTTCTTGGATTTTCTTAAAGTAATGGTCCAGTTTTAATGTTTGTGCTTTTTTTTCAAAATTTATATATATTTGTAAGCAGTTAGAAATATATAGACTGACTCTGATAAATAGCTTTGAAGTTCCTAAACCACTCTAATTCACTAGCCACTGGCTACCTAAGTCTTAACAAGTAATTTCTTCTTGTTTTAAGCTAATTGGATTGATTAGGTGACTAGAAGTGTGTATTCTTCTTTGTTCTCATTCTTAACTTTTCTTTTTTTTTAAAAAATCAGGTATTTTCTAAGGAAGAACTAAGGAAGTTGCTACAGAAGTTAAGAGAATCCTCTCTAATGCTTCTAGACCAGGGACTTGACCCATTAGGATATGAAATTCAGTCATAATATAATGTAATCTTTGTAATCTCACTAATTTTCATGATAAGTGGGTTTTTTTGTAGAATATACATTTTGTAATTACTGGATTTTTTCTTTTGCATTATTCTGAGGGGAAATGTAAAATTTAGACATTTGAATTTTGTTCTTTTCAGAATATTATGGTGACAGTTGAAAATTTAATGTATTATATCAGTATTTCCCTAAGTGTGTTTATTAATAAAATTATGTAAAAATTAAAATGACTTGTACTTAGCGATTCCAGGATTGTCTCTATATTATGTAATAAGGAAATTAAATTTCTCTCTTAATATTGTCATGTAATCATATGTACCCTGATATCTTAAAATTAAGAAGATGACTGTAGCAGGAATGTTTTCTAACATAATATTATGCTATTCTTTATTTTGAAGACATTGCTAGTTTATTAGCTCTCATTCAGCAAACCTGCTATTAAAATAAGTTGGAGCATGTAAAGACTTAGCACAGTACCTGGCACACAGTAAACACTGATCACACTGGGGAATACAAAATGAGTAAGCTCGAACCCAGCCCTTCTAGTAGGGGAAATACCATAAGAGCATTTAAAGGGTGCCATTAAAAGTAATCTTCGCAGGAAGAAACTATCTCTGGCTAAAGATCTCTGAGAAAGTAGTATTTGGGTTAGGGTTTGTGTAATGCACTGAATTTGCAAAGGCAAAGATAGGCACAAGCAGGGTGAGGCACTATAGATGAGGAAATCAGTATAAGCAAGGCATGTTTATGAACCAGCAAATAGGCCAAATTGGTTAGAGTATCAAGCAGGAGAAAACTAAAAGAGGCTGTGATTTAGTAGAAAACATGGTCTAGATGAGTAATTCCCCAAACTGGCTAATCATCTGAATCACCTGAGGAATTTGTTAAATACTTATTTATAGATGCCCCCTGGAGATGTCTGGCTCAGGAGGCCTGAAATGGGATCAGAGAATTTGTATTTTTAAATACAATAAGCCACAGGGGGTTCTAATTTAAATCAGAGAGAGGCATTAGCATTCCTCCTGCAGTGAAGGCAGACAGCAACGGTTGATCACAACACTGTCCTCTGGACATCAGTTGGGTAGAGGTATGGAGGCAATAGACTCCGCCTCAGATTTCATTTATGCTAGCTAACGTGATACAAAGATGAGATATTTTACTGATCAAAACCTGTAATTCTTATAACTTACTACATCCATTTAAAAAAATAAGGTTGAGGGCCAGCCCGTGGCTCACGTGGGAGAGACTGGTGCTGACAACACCAAGTCAAGGGTTAAGATCCCCTTACCAGTCATCTTTAACTAAATAAATAAATAAATATGGAAAAAAAAAAAAAAAACAAAAAATAAAAAATAAGGTTGAGCAGTATGAACTGACAAGAAAGTGTACAAAACATCTACAGGATTCATATGTTGAAAATTACAAAATATGGGCCAGCCCAGTGGCGCACTGGAGAGTTGCGCCGCTTGGGAGCGCAGCAGCGCTCCCGCCGAGGGTTCGGATCCCCTGTGGAGACCAGTTCCCGCTCGCGGGCGCAACACCGAGGGTTGCGATCCCATTGCCGGTCCCCGGTATGGGTGCGACACCAAGGGTTGCGATCCCATTACCAGTCAGTAAAAAAGACAAAAAGGAAAAAAAAAAAAAAGAAAATTACAAAATATTGATGAAAGAAACCAAAGAAGAGCAAAATAAATGGAGACACATAATAAGTTCATTAATTGGAAGACTCAACATAGTAAGGATATCAGTTCTCCCCAAATATACAAGTTTAGTACAATTATCCAAATTCCAGCAAGAAAATAGATTTTATTTTAGTTGGTAATTTTCTTAGGTATGAATAATGGTATTGTGGCTATGTCTTTATTCTTATTCTTAAGAAATGCACACTGAAATATTTAGGGATGAAAGGTCATGAAGTCTGCACTTTATTTCAAAATGGTTTAGCTTTAAAAAAAGAACATAATGCAAATATGGCAAACTGTTAACTAGTGAGTCTATATGAAGGGCACAGGAGAGTGTACACTAGTCTTTCAATTTTTCTGTACATTAACATTTTTCAAACTAAAAGATTTGGATAGACTTCAATAAGTTAATGAAAAAACAATATTCATATGGAAAATAAATGAACCTTGACCCTTAATTTATACAATACACCAAAGTTAATTCGAGATGGGCTATAGACCTAAAACATATAAACTAAAACTATAACACTTCTAAGAAAAATAAAGACTATGACCTGAGAGCAGTAAAGATTTCCCTACAAGAGACAGAAAGCAATAACCATAAAGGAAAAAACTGATTAGACTTCATCAAAATATAAAACTAATGTTCATCAAAAGACTTCATCAAAATATAAAACTAATGTTCATCAAAAGACACGTTTAAATTAGGCCACAGACTGGGAGAAAATATTTGCAAAAATACATCTGACAAAAAATAATTGTATTCAGAATACATAAGTAATCCCTGCAACTCAATAATAAAAAGGCAAAAAATAAGTGGGTAAAAAATACCAGAACAGACGATTCATAAAGGAAGATATACATACATAACCAAAAACCCCATAAAAAAGTGCTTAAGTCAATGTTATCAGGGAAATGCCACAATGAAATACCACTACACATCATATTTTGATTTTAGAATATCTAAAATCAAAAAGACTGCAAACACAAAATATTGGCAAGGATGTGGGGCAAGTGTGACTGATACATTGCTGGGGGGAATGTAAAATGGTACTACCTTCAGGAAAAGTTTTGAGTATTTCTCACAAACAATCACCTACCCTTTAACCTACAAATTTCACTCCTAAATATCCAAGAGAAATGAAAATAAATTCCACAACTACACATGTACAAAACTATTCACAGCAGCATTATTTATAATAGCCAAAAACTAGAAATTACCTAAATTCCCATCAGTAGGAGAATAGCTAAACAAATTGTGGTATGTTCATACAAAAGAATACTATTCAGCAATATAAAAAGGAAAAAACTACTGATAACATCAGACCAGTCACAAAAAAGTGTACATACTGTATGATCATTTGTATGAAGTTCTAGAACAGTAAAAACTAATATATGGTGAAAAAAATTAGAACATTGGTTTCCTCTGCAGGGGAGGGGAGAATTTTGTGGGAGGAAACAGGGAACTTTGTGGGGTGAAGGAAATTGTTCTATATCTCAACAGCTGGGTTAGGTGTATCCATTTGTCAAAAATTGTGCAGTTACAATTTACACATTTGAATGAATGTAAATGTAACTTTTTAAAATCAAATTGGGAAGTGGGTTGAAACAAGTACAAGCAGGTTCACTACAGTATTTTAACTTTGCATAAGTTTGAAATCTTCCATAATAAAAAGGAGGGAAAGTGGGCTGTGGAGCCATAGAGATTTGAGTTTGAATTTTACTCATCCCTTTCTAGCTGCAAGATAACACCCATGAAACCGTGTTTTGACATCCGAAAATGAGAATAATAATTACATTTCAGGACTGTAGTTAGGATTAGGTTCCTATGCTTTAGTGAAGGTGGTAAAGAAAGCCACTAACCAACTAAATCAGCCTGAAGAGATACAGGCTCTAGAATAGTGGGAAACTGGAAGAATGTCAAACATGGTGTTAGACCCAGGAAGGTGCTGAATGACAGGGCTGGTAAAGGAAACCCATCAGGCAGTTGGAATTCACTACAGATATTTTTATCTTTTTTTTTTTAATAATTTATTTTATTTATTGAATCAAAATTGATTATACATATTTTGGGGGTGGAACATTGAGATATGTTGATTAAATCAGTATTACTAGCATATATATTGTTACAAATCATAATTATTCTTTATGCCCCTTGTCCAACCTCTCCCCTTCCCCCATTCCCTCCCCCTCCACCCTCTAATTGCCTAGATTTCTCCTCTCCTTCTGAAAGAATAATGGTTACTCTGTTAACTTGTTACCTAGATGATCTGTCCAATGCTGAGAGATGTGATCAGGTCCCCCAATATTATTATAGAGCAGATGCTTCTTCTGTCACTCTGAAATGGGTTTTGTGGAAAGAGACATCCTCTTCTTTTCTTTGTCTCTGCTGGTGACTCTTCTTATGTGAATGCACTCCAGTGGTTGGCGGACCATCTGCGTGGTGGTTGTGGCTTCTAGCTGCTTTTGCAGCAGCCATGGTTATTGTGGTTACTGTGGTGGGCCACCCACATGGGGGGTGCTGTTTTTGGCATGCTCCTTGGCACTGGCAGTATGCCTGGTTGTGGGGTGTGTTTGGTCCCCTTCTCCTTGCCTTGGGTCCCTGGGCAGGCCCAAAGTTGCTGGCATGTTGTACCTGGTTGTGGGAGAGAGGTCCAGTCCCCTCACCATGCCTCAGGTTCCTGGGCGGGCCCTGAAGCACTAGCATGGTGTGCCTGGTTGTGGGAGAGAGGTCTGGTCCCCTTATCTATGCCCCAGGT